CCCCCCCCCCCCCCCCCGAGATTTCCATTTCCATCACTAGGGTTTTCTGAAAAAAAATATATGAAAGGGTAAAAGTTTATCAGTTAGTCCAGATAGGCTAGGTTCATATTCTCGAAACTCGTCGGGGGAATGAACCATGGGAGCAAGTCGAATGTTTCCTGCTCAGTGCAGCACAAAGGAAATTTGGGGAAGTAGTAACATTTTCCAACCATTCAAAATATTTTTACACGTCTTCCCATTTATTACCAGACGAACTACAAAACGACCTCATCTCGCCGCTTCAAAAGGCGAAGAACTGATTACAAACTACCTCCGGGACACGTGGAAGAGTTACGGATTCGAGGTTGAGGAGCCTGAGTACGAGGTTGTTCTCTCTTTTCCTCAAGAAGACAAACCAAACAAAGTATCTATAATCAATAACGTTACCAGAGAAGTAGATTACGAAATAGTAGGACAACTAAATGTAAGTAATAATAAGTCCGGTTCATAATAATTTTTGATGATACTTTGTAAATTGACAACTGTGACTGAAGAAACTGAGGAGAAGTCAAAGAGTCGTCGACTAGAACTAAAAAAAATGAAAAATATATTTTAAGCCATCAAATATTTTCGTTCAGTTTTAACTCATATTGAATGTCAAATTATTAAAGACTTGTTTCACATATTATTGGATTTTCTTTGGATAGAAAAACATAGACAGCAGCCTACCCCTGGAAGACAAGCAGCTAGGCGCTCATTTTCTCCCCACGTTGTGGCTTGCGACTCTGATCAACGATAAACTCTGTAGTCAGCGATTAGAGAACTCACTTATCGCAAGTCGAGACTGTAATTTAGTATACAGGTTTAATAAATAATTATATATTTCGATTTTTAAAATAATAATATGAATTTATTTGTTTTTAGGTAACAGCCGGTCGTGGACACGATGGAACGATCTACACCTACACACCATTTATCTCAGCATCTGTTAATGGTACCGTAGAAGGAGAATTGGTATTTGCAGGCTCAGGGCGGAAGTTGGATATACAGCACTTGAAAAACAGAGGAATATCGATTAAAGGAAAGATTGTCCTCATTTATGATATATTTGGAGACGTAAGAATTAATATTTTATTCATAGTGTATATAACGCCATCAATGAATAAGAAAAGGGGGGAAGCAAACCTTTGCCGTGGACACGTCACATACTTAGTGACATCGTGGTCCGTCGTTTTTTGTCAGCGCATTTCTTTGCCCTAGGCGTGATTGCAGCCCACCTACCGAAGAGCATGTGATGAAGTCCAATTCAAAATCTTACACATAAGTTTTGAAATATTAATGCTTTATAAAATCCAAATACTATTCACAATGAATTATAAATCGTCATTCGAAATCGGGAAAAATTTATCAAAATATTTTGCGATCGTCTTCTTGTTCGTTCTCTTGTTTGGAAAAATTAACTCCTGCTAAAACATAGTTAGAGTTCTTTGATCGGGACACTATATACTATAGAATACTAGCGTCCATTATCTAACCCTAAAGGTAATCATTGCAGATTCCAAAAAGTCAAAAAATATTCTCAGTTCTGCAAGCTTACCATATTTACTCTGTTTTTCTTTCCCTTGAATTTTCAGTGGATAACGATCGGCAATAAAGAAGGAGCAGCTGGAGTAATTCTTTTTTCAGACCCCAAATTCTTCGCACAAGAGGGAACTGGAGTAAATGACACCTTCCCAAACAAGCCATGGTTACCAGGCGATGCTGTTCTAACTAGCTCCCCCATGGATGGTAGATATATTTTTGGAGATCCTAGTACTCCACTGTTACCATCTACTTGTGGAATGGCGGCTCGTCCTTTAAACAAAAGACGCAAATACGGCAACTTTCCACTGCAAACCATCTCCTATAACCATGCTCGTTATTTACTGAGTCGAATGCAAGGTGAGGCACACTTAGTAAGAAAAAGTGGAAATATATAAATCATATATTGGAACAAATATAATTCTTAAGCCGACAAGCTTACATCGATTTTCACAGAACTTCCATACACGTAAACATTACAGCAACAAAACTTGGAATAATTCGGGACAGTAATCCTCCAACCCGTGTAATTTTGCACGTACTTTTTGGTGTTTTTAAAAGTTTTTTTTAATTGATAAGTGTACGAAGCAAGCTGGTGTGACCATAGATGATTTTTATTCCTACAAAAATGAACTTTTTATAACATTTGCATGGCATGACGACCTGATGCCCTGCTCCACCCATCACGGTTCGTTCTGTCATTGCTAGCAAAATTTTCATTCTGACCATTTGTGAACATCAACTAGCACGAATTGCATTAGGGACTGTGCAATGATTATTCAATGATTATGTATATAATACGCATGACTTAGGCTTTTTTATTTTTTTCTTCTACTGTATGTATTTCTATATCGCATAAAGGATTCTCTATCTCATTCTATTCGTATAATATTTGTGCGTATAAATAAACTTGAAAGGGGTATGTCAGACACAGTAGTAAATTCGCGTCTATCGGTCTAATACATTTAGTACCTTGGTTTGTTATTTGGTAATCGGTATTCTTCTTAGCTCGTGGGAACCATTGGAATGCACCACGAAGATAAATAATTTGAATATATGAATTTCACCTTCCAGGAGAAAAAGCGCCAAAAAACATGACGGGCAATTTGAAAGTAGATTACAGACTTGGGCCAGGTTTAAACACAACCAATAAGAATCCAGCTCCAGTAGTCAGACTTGAAGTCAACAATCAGTACGTTAAGAAGAAGATACGTAATGTCATAGCAACGATCCCCGGCTCAGAAGAACCTGACCGATATGTCCTGATTGGTAACCATAAGGATGCGATGTCGTTTGGAGGCAGCGACGCTTCGACTGGAACGGCTACAATGATGGAAATATCGAGAGTCTTTTGGAAACTCAGGCAAAAAGGATGGAGACCAAGAAGAACAATAAAGTTGTGTGGCTGGACCGCGGAAGAGTTCGCATTAATAGGCTCGACTGAATGGGTGCAAGAAAACCTCGAAGTTCTGAAAAAGAGAGCAGTAGCTTATATAAATATCGACCAAGCCATAATGGCTACACATATCTTATTCGTAGAGGCAAGCCCATTATTAGGCGACGTTATTCTAAATAACGCCAAAGAACTTCAAGATCCAGTCAATAGTTCAATTACATTATTTGACAGCATGGTTAACAGCCTACCAAAATCAAAGGATTACCCAGGCGAACCACATATTTACAACATGAAATACCCAACAGATCATGCTTCATTCCTGCATTTGCTAGGTCTTCCTGTGGCGAATTTCCTCTATTTCTTTTTATACAAAGATAAACAGAACATTCATCCCGTTTATCACACTCAGTATGATACTTTTGAATATATAGAAAAATTTGGCGATCCAAACTTTCTTTATTCCAGATTAGTGGTGCGGCTTTTAGGGAGTATATTACTTGATCTATCTGACTCTGAAGTCCTTCCATTTAATGTGACGAGATTCGCAAAATCGGTGCAAAATGCCTTCAAAACCCTAAAAAATTCAACGCATTCAAAACGAATAAACGTAATGCAGATGGCATATCTTGAAAAGGCAGTCAAATCATTTGTGGATATGACCAAGGCGTTTGAGTTCGCAAAATCCCGGCTCACGCGTCAGCAGAAAAATCCTTTGGTTTTGCGCATGCTCAACGATCAAATGTTGGGGTTAGAGAAAATATTTCTGAGTCCGAATGCCATGAGAGGTTTGCTCGATAATCTAAATGACAGAATAATTAAAGAGATTGTTGTTTCCTACCACAATAAAGATAATATGTTGTTAATCAGTGAGAAATTCAACAATTTTGACAAGATCGCAGGCATGAAGAATCTCACTCAATGCGAGAAAGACGAATATTTCAAGTTTGAAATGTCGTTGATCATCAAAGCCGTCAGAGAAGCAACGAATCTGATGACTTTATAGATTACTTTCAGTGTACGGAGTCGGCCGATGAATTGCATTATTAGGTCTTGTTACTATTATGCGTTTCCAACAGTTATCCGTTTTTGGACGCCATTTTGAATGTTTATGGTTGTTCGTCGGTTGTTCATTAGTGTTCTTCGATACACTAATAAGGAAAACCGCGTAAACATTCAAAATGGCATCGAGAGACCACAGGTTGCCCCGGCTATTATCCTGTGACTTAAGAAGACAGTGATATTTTTAGAAATTTTACAAGTTTCTCCTTTAAAAAGGCTTAATAAATATTTAAAAAACCTTCATATATCCACTGGGAGTTGATATTAAAGCTATTTTTATGCCGTAATTTCCTTTTTTCAAGAATCCCCACCCCCGTAGGAAAAATTGACAAAGCTGGGGACTCCGGCACCTAAATCGCCAACTGCCTCTAATCTGCGCGTTCAAAAAGCCTACTCTTCTCCTTCTCCAATCTTTACGAAACTCCGTTAATCTTTTGTTTGATATCTGGTCGTTGTTGTTTCCAATTTACACGGTCCCAAGATTTTTCAAGATGTTGAAATAAGAACATCAAATAACACAACCTAAGACGTACGATACCAGCTCCGAGGACGACACCAACGGATATTGCCTCGCCTTTACAACCAAGTGTCAACATTTCATAGTCATGCATCCCGAAGAAATGGCTTTTAATGTAGCTTTTACATACCTCATTAAGAAGGGGAGTCCCTTTTTTTCAATTCAACCATCAGAGAATATGGATTAGTCACCATGCTGTGATATGATGGGAGGGAAAATAAGATTCGAAACTTTCAGGACATCTGGTTCTCGTGTAAAACAATGTATCATAAAATAGCTCAAGATTCAAACCAGGTTTCAGAATGCTTTTACAACACTCAAACGTCATTACAATAAAGCTTTTCAACAAACTGGGAGCTCTCTTAACTAATCTCTTATGTTTTTCGCTTCAATCATTGCGTTGAAAACGCTTTAGCGGAAAACAAATATTTAAATGAGTGATTCTAAAATCAGATATTTTACCGATGACTTATTTTACATGAAGCCATCAAAATAAGATATTTTTTTATTTTGTACGGTTGGTTTCTGTCTAGATCTTTTGTGTTCTTCAACCAATCGATGGAGGTGGCTACAAGTACCACATAGTCAGCACCACAAATATTGTAACTAAAACTAGAAACAAGATGGCTTGACTACGAGAACAGTCCTGTTATCTTCAGTTGTGACATGCATTTACCGTCCAGTTCATTTTTTCATCAGATAAATCACATAACCTGTATTTTGTTTTCAATTTTGTGCTTCACGACCGAGGATGTTGCTCGTAAAAACTTCTATAAAGACCTTCCCTGCTTGCCGACTTGCACAGTCTACTATTCAAGCCAGGTCTTCATTTTAATTAATCCGCTAAGATCGTTTTTGAGGGGCTGGTGTTTTAGCTTGTCTCTTGAGGATATCAACAGGAGTTACATGACTGGGCTTGAGATCACAGTACGGTGAATCAGGACAGCCAACCATCAACACGTGATTCCCGTTAATCCATAAACGAAATAAACCTTTGTGGTACCCGCGCATGTCCAGATCCCAGATTTTAAAGCAAGTGGCTGCGTTGAGCCAATTTTTATTATCTTGCCATATTGTCATTTTCATGTAAAAAACATAAGTTTTGTTACTGGTGTCAGGAACAAACGAATCTGGATGTGAACAAGGTGTTTTGCCGTGATCTAGCACGCTTGCCGACCTAACAAGGAAAAAGAAAAATATTGAAATGTTGCGAAAATAGTCGGATGGCTAGGACATTGGAAGGGCATTGAACGTCTTTTTGACAATTGGTGTTTAAAGATTAAAGATAGACCCAAAGGAATTAATGGTAAAGGCAGGTCTGGACAACTTGATTTCGACTGATAAACAAGGAAAACTAAGGGAAAGGACTGATGGGGAATCTTCAAATAACACTTTCTGAAATTTCAAAACATTGTTATTACACCCTTGGCAATTGGTAATAAGCGAGTCCCCTATTTTAAATTAAAATCTTTCTTTCGCTAGTATCGAATCATCTTTGATATGATAACAATTATTCATATAAATACCTAATGAATCTTCGTATCTCCTTTTCGTACTCTTCTTTGTACATTACATCAGGGTTGAGTTTCATTGGAGGCGCGACGTTGAATGAACGACGTTTAAAATAAAGACTCTGGAAGTAAGGGTTGACGTTGAGTCCAATGTCGCCAAAGTGATACGTTCGTGAGATGTCAGGTATTATACACTCTCGTTGCTTTAGCATCATGCCTCGCACCCACATATCCCAGTCCCATAGCTTATCTGGGGTCGGCCAGTTTGGTTCAAGCTCTTCTTTGTAGATCTTCTTAGGCAGAACCCTGTTGAGATAAGATTTTTTCAGGTACCCCGAAGGGTCTGTGATATCAGGAGGTAAAGGTGCCCGGTCGTACAGATGTCCAAATGTCTAAAAATGTCCGGATATCGGGGTGTTTAGGTGTCGAGGTATCAGGACGTTCAAGTTCGGATGACCGGATAAACGAGTGTCCAGTGTTTATATGTTCGGTGTCGGGTTATTGTGTGTCCGGGTGTCTAGGAGTATCGATGTCAGGGTATAGGGGCTCCGAGTGTTGGGGGTGCTCGGATGTTCTGGTACTGGGTTGTCCTTAAAAAAAAGTCATGTTAGGAAATATTTCAGTTGGGAGTTAAGGTTGGCTGCATTCCCTGGCTGCTTTAAGGTTAGTCCACCTTGGGACAACCATTTCTTGGAAAAGAAAAGTGTGATTGAAAACCTTTTATTGTTTTTAATAACAGGTAATATTCAATGCATATTAAGTGCACGTTGACTAACCATCCAAGTCCTGGCATATACTCCACTCGGTATGTCATTGACGGGTCGTATACTGTGTGTTTATATCCCTGGAATAAGAACATTTTAAAATCTATTTATGACCAGGTTTTCAATATATAAGCAATTATGCATAAGCACAACAAGACACGCAAACGCAGATGGCCTTTCACGATTACTTATGAGCCTGAATTTGAGTCCGAGTCTGACTTTGTTTTGATGTCACAGTTATGTGGCATAAAGTGAGCAATGAGATGCAAGGAGTCCAGCAGCTCATCATTGCGCTAGCACCTAGTCTTGCTTGCGTAAATTACGAACACTGTTCGGACACGTCAACAACACTGTTTGTATATAAACTATGACCGACTTCGATTTAGATCGTTTCCATTTATTCACTTCAAAAAAAATACACGAGACTGCGACTTGCGAGTTACCCCTTTCGAAGCAAGACTTACAAAACAGCAGCTTGCGGTTTAACATCGCGTTCTACTATTTGTACATAAGAAAATGAGCAAATACAAGCGAAGCAACAGCATAAACATAAAATCAACTAAATCTCTAAAGGTTAAGGCTGCCGCCCACAAAGATACCACGAAAATCACAGCCCGACCCAAGCCGACGGTCAGGTTTGTGACCATAGCAACTGTCAATCAACGTTTCAGTAACCGTCATGGTATACGGCAAAACAAAGTCAAAGTAAAGTCAAAGTCAACTGAAAGACCCAAAAAATCTAACAGCGGCACCTTATGCACCACCCCATTTTCGTATTTATTGCCGAAGCCATTCTCGAAGAAGTATTTAGAAGATTTGAATACATAAAGTGTTTTACCTGATCGTTCCATGCTGATATACAAAACAAACTCTTGTCTTTCTCCAGAACARGAAGAAGCTGTTGGAAAAAGCTCAAGATGTCCACCGACGCGTCCAAGTCTTCTTCCAGGATAATCAGAAACTGTGCTGCTGGATTATTGTCAAATGATGTTGTCAGACTTTTCTTATAATGCTGAAAGGAGGAGAAATAATTACATGTACTGAAATACAGCTTACACGTGAATAAACTGCGTTATATTTGTGCTTGGGTGTAAATGCAGGCCACGTGCCATTCCCATTCCTTTATTTTACAGTTGCTCATGCATAGACACATAGATAATGGATATACAACTCAAATAAATAATCTCATTCTCAAAAAACTGACGTGTGGTATAGAATAAGAAATCACACTTCCCGTGCAATTAGAGATTGTAGCAGACCTTCCTGTTTTCCCCTTTTTCTCCCCACCACCCGTTCCCCCGTTCCCCCTTCTCCCCAGACCCTCTCGACCGCCTTAGACAGAGGGCCACTACGCAAACAAGCTTTTCTTTCAAGAACTGTTCTAAATTTGCATAAGACAAACAAGTATGCTAACGTTACTAAAACTTTATCGACCCCTAAAAATCCCCGAGAGAATCTAAGTCAGGGCATGCTAGACATTTGCCTGTTTGGTTTTGCGATGGGAAGACGACACCGGAAGCGCTGAGTAAAGACCAATCGAATCGAAGAGCAGACCCAACAATAGAGCGTTTTCACGCGACGTCACAGCGGCCATGTTGGTGTTCCAAAACAATATATTCTATTCTATATATTCTATCATCCGGTAATTGAACTCTATTTCTATGCAAAAAACTGTGCAGAAAGTTTCTATTGTTTGGTACACAAATATGGCTGGCTTGTCACGTGAGTGAAAACGCTCCATTCCTGCCCGCATGTGATGTTGAGTCCAGGAATGGAACACAAGAACCAAGAGTTAAATACGGTGCTCTACCACTACGTATATGTATAACTCTTGAAGTAAGAATTACCTGTGAAATCCTAGCATTTTTCGCGCCGATTGACTCGTGTTGATAGACTTTTATATTGAACAACTTCCCAACCGAAGCAGGCTCCTCGAAAAATCCATCAATGAATAGAGATACCATAGAGGCGTCGAGACCAATCACCTTCTGCAGGCCTTGTAACATGCGAAACAAGTAACGAGGTCGATTTCCTGCTATTATGGCTATCGGAAGTTGACTTCTGCTTCCGTCGGCGAATGGCGGGTTTTCAAAATCCAGACTTACAGGGTTTTCACCTATAATAAAAGGAAGAGAAAGGTAATTGAAAAATGGAATGATGGATGGATGGATGGATGGATGGATGGATGGATGGATGGATGGATGGATGGATGGATGGATGGATGATGGATGGATGGATGAATTCATTTCTATCACATTCCATTCAGGTCTAGTAAACCATATTATAAATATCCAATCAACTCACATCTGCAAATCAAAGGATAAACTTCGTATTTCTCACAGAATTCCTTCCTTCTTCTGTTGCTCTCATTTTCTTCCCAGTTACAGTTGTTCCCAATGGATTTACTAGCAAGAAATGACGTTGATATGGTAACGTCACTCGCCCATTTATAAGGGTTGGTGTTTTTCTGGTAGCCTTCAGCCAGGACACGTCCGCCATGTTTTCTCTTTTGGACTGCAAACGCCCACATGTCCCGCCACTTAAGCAGATTGATGTACAAACTGCCGTAGCTCTTGATGAGGTTGCGTGCATTGTTTTTCAGTGCACGCGATGCTTCATCCTACGAAACCACACATCAAAATTTAAGGGAAAAAGAAAGAAAGAAAGAAAAACATGACGACTTCATAGGTTGTAGGATGCCATCAGAAGCCGTTCCGTTAACGATAGCAACTCCAGAGCGATCTCCGAGAAGAAAGAAAGATAGAAAAATTATTTAAAATCAAAGGAAAAGGAGGATTGGAAATAGCATAATTCTTTGTTCTTAACCAACAAAGTATCTAAGTCACATTTCAGGTGTTCGATGGAAGGGGACCTGGTTAAATYCTGAATATCTAAACAATAACTAAATCCTACATAACTAAATGGAAGCCCTCTTGAAAATATGTCCCCTAAAACAGCCTTAAAATGCACTGCGATGCCAACTTGACCCAGTCCCCCATCCAACCGGAATGGCTAATATACTTACCATTACAGCAAACAAAAGAATCCTCCCGGGTGTAACGTCATTTAGAAACTGAACTAAAGTGTCGGAATATTTAGAATCTGTAAAAGTTGCAAAGGATGACGAAGCCATTTGAGCCCCGGTGGCCTGGTTCAGGACCACAACGTGAATCCCGATAAGACGTGCGACATCACTAACCTGGTAAAAAAAAATGGGAATCACTAGGCGTGACATTGTAACGCAATGCAATATGCATCGAAATAACCTGTACAATTATAAAAGTGATATGCAGAAATCCTCACCTTTTTACCATTTACTTTCATTGATATATTAGACTTGCTTGAACAAACTTCTAGATTAATTACGAGGTCTGAAATAGCAATGATCAAAAGAAGGTTAACATGATTTTCTAAGCCACCATGATGCTAAAATGCTAAATGGCATCGATATCGTTACACCCGCTCGCAAAGCGACCATTAAAAGAGGGCACCCCGAACGAAGAAAGGAGGGCCGAGAAAAACTGTACTCGCAGATAAGCTGGACATACCATCCGTGCACAGGAGAATTTACAAGAATGCTCAAGACATTATGAACGCTGTCTCACTTCTTTAATAACAAATATAAAGAAACGAAGAAAATGAAAAAAGACGAAAAAAGAAAGACAGGAAGGAAAGAAGAAGTGTAGGTATAGGTAGGTATAGGATACAGATTGATGAATGTTATAAACGGTACACTTCAAAAGCCAATAATGACTAGTGGTTGAATGCATGATAGTTGTAATTGTGTTAGTGTGTTCAATACAACGAGTGGATGTCGGCATTTCATTAAAATTTACAATGTGTAAACAAATTGCAACTGTACTAGCGTTTCGGACGTTATTCCGTTGTCGGACGGATATGAAAAAAGAAAACAAGTCAAATTTATTATTTAAAAAGGGAATATCAGTTTGAAGATAAAGCTTTTGTTGCTCCTACTTCCTGATTGGTTAAGAGTGAAGGCCATTTTTTTAAAGTGCCACGACACGTTACAAATATTAAAATTCCCATTTCTATAGTACAAAAAGGCAGGGTAAAGCCGGTTTGAAATTAAACGTCGCAGTTGACTTAAACCAAACACATCACTGACTATACAAAATCATATCTGTGTTCATTCAAAAGAATCGCCAAAAATCGAATTTCCTGTGTTTAAAAGTCACTGTGTATGCATGTCTTTTTGGTCGTAGTTGGGCCGGCTGTCTAATATTTGCTAAAATGCCTCCTTCAAGAACTAGAATCTCTTCACTCAAAATCCTATCCTTCCAGTAACACCGAAGGGTCTTTATAAACTTCTATATCACCGTAACTGTCGCGCGGTTCAGTTTCAGAGCTCACCTTCATTTTCTACAGCTCCCGGTATCTCAGGCTGGCTACCTTTACCTCTTGTCCTTACATTAACGTCTTCTTCAGATGAATGGCTTCTCATTTCAGCCAAGGCAGCTAAAATAAATATCACATTTCCAATAAAAGTGACCACCACAACAAAGACTAGGAGTGCACGTAGCAGACGATAAGAGAGCCCTCTCTTTTCAACTTTGAACGATATGCTGTCTGAGCCTGGAATCTGGATCTTGTAGGTCGATGAAACCTGAGCCATCGAGAAGTAATTGCAGCTCCAAAATAACTTTTAAAATTTCCTGCTCTGAATACCTTGACCAGAAATAATTTTAGAAACCGAAATTGTGTTGAGATTTATGGCTATGAAACTAGTTATTAAACTTCTTAGACAATACATTTTTATGAATCGTTGGTTACCGTCGTTAGGGGCCATCGTGTCGTGGACATACGGGGACTTAGACTGTTCGTAGTGAGCTCGAAGTATTTACTTGATTGATACTCGGCATTGTATTTGAAGCGTTGAAGAAGCTAGTCGGCTTTGAAAATAGTCTTTAGTATATTAATGAAAACTTTTACACTGAACATTTCAATGTTTTTACGCGGGTTTGTTCTATAAATTTCAAATTATTTCAAATTTGATTTTTAATTCATTCCATTGATTTTACTGCGCTTTTTAAGAAAAAAAAAAAGAATTAAAACCATGCCAGTTTTTATCAGAATTTTTCTGCACTTAGATGGCGCCTTTCGCCTTTTCTTCTATCTTATCTCTCACCGTTTACCAATTGGATAAAATAAAAACATTAAAACGAGAAAGTAATTAAAAAAGAAAAGAAAAAGATTGATTATTTTTTTAAAGTTCTGATAACCCTAGTAGTCATTTCAAAACTACTTAGTTTTCTCCTTTTTTATTTTCTTTCCTTTCATTTTCTTTTTTTTTTTTTTTTTTTTTTCCCTGTTTCTTCCCCTCACATCTTCGCTTTGTCAGCTAGTTGTCTTATCGCGGATACCCTGTGTCACAAAAACACAGGGATACCGCGTATGACTTGACTCAGCAAATTACACGAAAGCTGTTATCGTTCGTTATCGTAGTGGTGCAATCATTTTACACAATATTATTATCCAAAAATAACAATGAAAATTGATTAACTTAACCATCTAATAACACAGAGGCCCTCRCAAGTACAGAATACTTCATCTCAACCTAAAGGCTCAAGTAGAAAATAATTTAGAGAGAAATATCCAAGATGGCGATCGAGAGTTGTTCCATGTTCGACGAGAGATTTTTAGAAATGATGAATGAAATCCGAGTGATTGGATATGAATGTGACGATGATAAAGATGAAGACGTTTATCGAGTCCAAGATCAAGGTAAATCTATCCTTAAAAACATCATGGAACTTTATTGATTTCTCAATTTTATTTTACTAGAAAACCTTTAAAAAGCTATTTAATACTTGTAAAGTTAAAAGCTTAGTCATGTCTCAAGCAAATAATTCATGTTTTTTCCTGTTTCTGTTAGCTGATRGTTGTAAAGATAAAAGTGGTGTATCMTGTCAAGCATGTAAAGTGCTTGYATTTGATTCTGTGAAAGCACAGGTTAGTTAAGCTGCCTTACTTTTCTACTTAATCCATCCATCCATCCATYTTTTWATTCTTTTATTCTYTCTTTTCTCAAAGTTTTTATGTTTTAATAGCCTGGAATTTCTTTTTTTATAATTCACAGTGAAATGAAATATTTTACTCTTACTATCAAATTTGGCACTAGCTATTGTTTAAGAGGGAAAAATAGACATTTGGTGTTTTGTCAGATTTTTATTTTATTTTAATCTTCATCCTTCTCAATATTGAGGCCATGTTAGGGGTAAATTCTAACAAGAGACATGGCCTTGAAACAGAGGCATGAGAGCCACAAACTAGCAACGAACA